TTGATATTGAGCGCTTTCTAAGCAATTGCCCATATAATATATAAATAATTATACATATATATATTTATTTATATTTATATACACTTTTCACACACACACACACACACACACACACACACACACACATATATATATATATATTGTACAGCATTTAAAATAACATTCCTGTCCAAATTTACCTTTAAGAGATATATTAATTGACAATACAAGTATACTCCACAATAAAAATAATAAACACAAACTTTTAATTCTTCAAGCGCTCTATGTTAAAAAAAAGAATACTAAAACTAAATATAATTAATTATGTGTACAGCAACAATATTTCAAAGTCTCTATAAAAATCAATGTTTTAGGATACTGAAATTGTAAATTTTTTTATTACGACTTGAGTATGTTAAACATTAATAACAAAAAATGTAGACTCAGTTACTCACTTACATATACTTACCTTATATTGAGCACGTTTCATGCGTATTTACAAAAAAATTACAACTATCAATTGCGTTAATTTTTTGTCTAAGCAAATCCCATCTGAATATGAACTTGGATGAGATTGAAAGTACTTTTGGAAAACAAATATATATATATATATATATATATATATATATATATATATATATCGTAATTTGCTGCGTTCAATTATACCTGGCGTACAGGTTCTTTTTTAAGATCTTTTTAGTTCAAATTTCTGAGTTAGGCCTATACCTACCGTATAGATCGACCACGAAATGTGGGCCAGAACTTAGGCCTGACAGGAAATAAACTTACATACGATCACCTGCTTTTACGATATGCGTATGTCGTAACCTAGAAAAGGTTACTGAATGAGGAATAACCAACACGGTGTTTGGAAATGAAATCTGAGAAACTTGAATTTGAAAGATGCGTCCTTGGAAATGTATTTATCTGTTGTAAAATTTTAATACTGAGCATTTTATTTACAAATATCTGCTCACATTTAAAAAAGTTAGCATCCAATGATTTACTCATTGACGTATTGTGTTGAGCTTTACTGGACTAAATGTTTTGTTAGGCGTTAACGACCTTAGTTTGTTATTATTATTATTATTATTATTATTATTCCTTTGATTTCTGATGTGTACTCATTTCTTTCAGGATCCTGCCCTGGTACCTACGGTTAGAAATGGCATGACATTTTCCACTGGGAAAAAAAATATTTTACATAGACAACGCCCTTTGTAAGGTGTGGGCTGAGCTCGTGAGAAGAATTTTCTGTATTTCTTTAAGGCATGGGCTTCCAGGAATCCCTTCAATTAGTCTACTGGAATCTTTTCCAACCAATCAGATGGATCCAACTACAACGGGGATTGTTGATGTTCCAAAGTGGCACATGTTTGAGATTTCTCTTTCAAGATCCTTGTATTTTGATAGCTTTTTTTCTTCAAAGATACATTGCAGTCTGCAGGCACTGCCATATCAATAAGAAGGCATTTTTTGTCTGTGCGATCTATAGTAATAATAATAATAATATTATTATTATTATTATATAAAATTTTCATTCATGAAAGATAAATGAAAGTTATTTGTCTACGATTTTTGTTTATTATTTTATATTTTGTTTTTTTTTTTAATATAATTTTCTGATTTCTGATTACATTTATGTGAATGCTGCGACTGAATATATCAAGTTTTCGGTTTCTATCAGTTCTCTAATTCTTCTTAAATATCGTGTCTTCACACTTCATGAAATCTTTTTAATTGTTGCGTCATCACGTGACATTCTGTCTTCGTTATTTTTTATTTCATCCATGTTTTATATGATGCATTTTGTATATTTTTTTCTTAAATTTATTAAAAATTTCATTTATCTTGAGTGTTTGATTTGTTGCATTTACAGTGGACTAAAGAATATAAAACAAACACTTATTAATAATAGCTTTCCAAACTATATAGTTGATGAACAAATAAGATGCTTTCTTAGAAATCTCAATACTAAGCAAATAGAACATAATACTGCTTCAACTAATCCCAAACATATTCTCCTATATCGTAATCAAATGCATAATAATTATAAACAAGATAAAAATCTACTAACAAAATTAGTAAATACTAATATATCTACAACAGATCCTAACAAAAAAAATAAGTTAATCATATACTACACTAAGTCTAGTATATTCAACTCAATTATTCACAATGATTCTTCTCCACTCGTGAGCGATTTCAACAAAAAAAAAAAAACATAGTTTACAAATTCAAATGCCCTTTGGGAGATTGTATCCCCAACGAATTCACGACGCTTGACTCTACATTTGAATGATAACTCTAACACATTTAGGCATTTAGACCAACATGCCTGGCCGTATACACAATTCCGGAAAATCCTCGTTGAAAACACAACTATACTTAAACATGAAAACAATAAACAAATGCTAAAAATTCTTGGAGCTATATACATAAAACAGTTGAAAACTAACCTGAACAAAATAAACCATGAAATCTCCACAAATATTCTTAAATGCGTATAATCGATAACAGAATCCGTTGGTTTATACCAACAGCTTTCCATACTTAATACTACTGGCTTTCACGATCGCTTTTCCATGTCTGATGTCATGAGCAGCGGTGCGATTTTCGCTTCCAGCGTCTCGTATGAACGAGTTTGTCGTGGCAAAAAAATTCCATGGAAATAAAAACAGACTATCATTATTGTTTTGTTATTGTATTGTTAGATATATTGTAATGCAATTGTCATCTTTGATAATGGCTTATGTAAGCCGAAAGCTAAGACAGGATTATAAAATATGTATCAATATGGTGATTTTCTTTCATCTTTTAATGATAATGTTATTAAGCTTATCAGACGATATGAAAGAATTTACATAAAATAGACAAAACTTGTCTATATTATCTAATGAAACATGCATCATATATATATATATATATATATATATATATATATAAACTTAGAAAATTATTTTGAAATCGGTGTTAGAAGAAAATACAATTATATTTCAAACAAATTTATTTTATCGGAACAAAAATCGTGATTACATTTAGCTAACGTAACACTCATATTAGAGAAATAAAAATATTTCAGCTCTGGAACGAATATATCAGTGAACTCTTCCACGATCAAAGAGAATAACCTGGAATACACAGAAATTCCAACGGATCTATCTATCTATCTATCTATCTATCTATCTATCTATCTATCTCTTTCTCTTTCTTTATCTCTCTCTCTTTCTTCTCTCTCTCTCTCTCTCTCTCTATATATATATATATATATATATATATATAACTAACCATTTTTGAAAGTGGTTGTAATTTATTTAATAAACGTTTTTCTTTATGAAAATATAGTTTAATTATGATTTGTTGATCATCTTAAAAAAGACATTTTTTAAAATATATTATCTTAGGGGTTCACATACTTTTGCACAAAAATATATATATATATATATATATATATATATATATATATATTATGAAATGGACAAAGTCCGACAATTATTTTAAGAATTATAAAAAAAAGAATGTATAAGCATAAAAATGCCGTAATATATATATATATATATATATATATATATATATATATATATATATATATATATATATATTTGTGTGTGTGTGAGAGAGAGTGTGTGTGTGTGTGTGTGTGTGTGTGTGTGTGTACGTGTGTGTGTGTAAGAATTGTTTTCATCACAGAAGAAGAAGATTGTCCATGGCTCAACAGGATATTCCATCTTGTTTAGGATTTTTTAGGACTTTTTTTCCGAAAGAAATTTATATTTACGCCTCTTGTATGACTGGTAACGGAGTTCCACATTCAAGGCCAGCTTCATGGTGGAAATGGAAACACTCATTTTTCGTGCCAGTGACTTCTTGACTGGGTTTTCCTTCCTTTTCTCCTGCAACTCTTTGATGGATTTTGCTGTGTTCTTTCCTGCATGCCGCAGTCTCGTTGTCATGGTTGCAATTTTCCATTTTATGTCTTCTTGTTTTCACGTTGTTCAAAGAGCATTGACCAACTGTCAATGCGGCATTTTGATGTCCGGCACGAATCTTCATAATGCAGGTGATCCTTTTTCAATATAAATTTGGTTTCCACTTGACCATGTCAGTTAATTTTGACACCTTTAAAACTGTAGTGATTACCGTATCTGACGACATATAAGACGGACGGGTGTATAAGACGCACCCCAATTTCAGAAGAGCCAATCAAGAAAAAATTAGTAATTAGTAAAATTATTAGTAAATGGTAGAGTCTAGGCTATATTTATGAGGTATTATTTTGGTTAAACAAGCCATGATTACAATTAAACGAAAAATAACAGGAAAAAAGACGAGCCTATAAAATCTTTATTATATCCAAAATTAAGAAAAAAAAAAGAAACTCAAGGAATTATTACAATTGAGTTAAATAGTACAGTTACCATTTTTGGCTGACTATCGCGAATTTTAAACCTACATATAGCATATAAGACGCAGCAGAATTTTGAAAGATAATTTTAGTAAAAAAAGTTCTCTTTAAATGCCGTCAAATTTGGTAATTATTACAATGCAAGTCAGTGTTTACAAATATTCCAAACCAATTACCCCCCAAAAAAAAAACATGGTGTTTCAACACGTGTATTTCATAAGGGCCGGTCTGTCAGTTAAGTGCCATACGTGATAAACGAATGGGCCATCATATTTTTTTTCCATTCATGACTGACTAGGTAGAAGATTTTTACTTGATAGCTTGCAGATTCTTTCTCCAGTAGACTGGTTTCCAACCAAGTCTATAGAACCCAGTCTACTCTGCTATTTAACCCACAGCGAGGAGGAGAAGCTAAGTAGTAATATCTTTCTCAAGGCTATTTACACATAATTAAAATGTAATGAACCCGATGGTAATTCGAACTCAGCCTAACAATTTCTCATTCCGAGCCGATATCGATTGCGCCGTAGCACATAAAAAGCATCTTATCTTCAAAATGTCATGACGTATCAGGCGGAACGTTTAATTAAACCGACACGCTTATTTTAACAGTTGCTTACGGCCAGGTCACGTTGAAACACCGGTTCCCGATTGAGCACCGAAGTTAAGTAACATCGAGCCTCGTCAGTACGTTGATGGGTGACAGTTTGGGAATAACATATGTTGTAAGATTGGATGTGCGGATGGTGTAATGACTGGGAATTGTTAATCGGAGAGCCGAGATCAATTTCCAGTTAGGCTCGTTATATTTACTCCTACACAAATACATCTGTGAAAAGCATGAATCAACATGTCTCCCCAGCTATGGGTTAATTAGTAAGACTTGTATCACTGAATCATTATTGTCTCAGAAAAGAAATGAAAAAAAAAAGGACGAAAAAATCTAACAATCTAAAATATGTACTGGCTTTAAATAACCTGAAAAGATTAAACGTTTAAGTTTTAAAAAAATAGATTTTGTCCAGTGTATCAAATCCACCGGAGACGGCCAGATAAATTCTCCCGATATATATATATATATATATATATATATATACGCTACTGGTGTATTGAGCACATTTTTTTAAAAATAAAAACAAAAATACTAAAGAACTTCGGCTTATTAACGATTCTTTCCGATTTTTATATATTTGCACACACCACACAGACATATATATATATATATATATATATATATATATATATATATATATATATATATATGCATTTTTACTGTTGAACTAGCTAGGTGTAATCTCGGGTTATTCGCCTGTGCAACTCTCTTTCAGATATTTTTACCTTCCCTGTCACTTACAATTTTCAAAATTCTAAATGCAACTTTAATCCGCTGGTATCCCGGCTTTAGGCACTTTCTCACCGCCGGGGATTTACTTTCCTCAGTCTTTTCTATAAAGATTTCTATGGCAGTTCTAATGCGATCTCATCCTTGGTACCTCGATCTTATAAATTTGTGGGCACTACTAGATTGACAACTAGTTCTCATCTTTTTACTCTTGAAATATCTAGATGAAACCGTAAGTTCTATTCTAATAGTTTGTTCCTTTCTCGCACTTCTTGCTTGTGGAACTCTCTTCCGGTTTCTTGATTCCCTGTCACGTACGCTCTTCAAAAGCTATCGTCTTTCTGACCCTTTTTCCTTGTCCTCACTAAAATCTCATTCTCTCTCACGTTCAGTAATCCTTATAATCTTAGATGGGTTACGGAACGAAATGATTAAAATTCTTCGAATTCATGAAAATATTACATTAAATAACGTTATTGGTTTTTTAAAAAAATTCTAGTCTATTTGTTGATGTCTCTTTCTGTTGTAAGCTAGAAAAGAGAAATAACCAAAACGGATGATATAGATTCAGTTACCCCCACTCCCCCAACTTACATATTCTAAACTTTAATTTCAAATTGACTCTAACGGGTCGCGTTTCATGCGCATTTACAAAAAAATTCACAACTATCAATTGCGTTAATTTTTTGACTTAGGAATTCTCCCCTGAAGATGATCCTGGATGAGATTGAAAGATTGATGAGAAAATAAAAGGATGAGAATATATATATATATATATATATAAAATAAAAAGAAAGAATAGTAAGATATATAATCCGGTGTTCTTATAGATATTTTATTTTTACAAAATGGTGCTCAATGTAAATTTACAGAGCATTAATATTATAAATTAATTGATTTACATTGAGCACTATTTTGTAAAAATAAAATATCTATAAGAACACCGGATTATAAATTATATTTTAAACCAATTAATTTTTATATATATATATATATATATATATATATATATATATATATATATATATATATATATATATAATCATTCTCAGGACACACGCTAGACGATTGCGTTTAGCATGAAACAGCCTGTCGCCTCTGTGTGTTGACTTCAATGTTCACTTATATATATATATATATATATATATATATATATATATATATATATATATATATATATATATATATATATATATATATATTGTAAATTGCGCCGTTCAATTTAACCTGGCGTACAAGTCTACCTCAAGAACTTTCAGCTCAAAATTCTGAGTTAGTTCTATACCTACGGTATAGGCCGACGACTAAACATATGTGGGCCAAAACTTAAGCCTGATGGTAAATGAAGTTAGGCTGCAGTATACGATAACCTCTTTCTACAGTATGTGTATATTGTAACCTAAAAAAGGTTACTGAATGAGAAATAACCAAAACGGAGGTTGGAAATGAAATGGTAATCTTTATAACATCAACAAAATACAATACTCGCCAGCGGCGTGAATTAGGTAAACCACTGCTAGTGGTGCACTACTTTTTATAATACCCCACTTACAATAATGCCCGACGTATTTATGAGGATTGTGACATACCCATTAGTGTTCATAGGTACGCTATATAACACTTTCTGTGTCTACACATTTCCCTTAATACTACAGTATACACAGGAGAAATATCGCTGAAGATAGGACGTTATACACTCGTGATGATTAGGTTGGTTAGTTTATTTATAGATTTAAAAGAAGGCATTCCACCATCACCTTCTCCACACGTAAAATTCTTAAACAGTACAAATGTGTTTTCATTATTGGTTTATCGCTACAGGTCACTACAAGGCAGCTAATTGTATATTCAATTGTTTAGGTCTGTGAAAAGTACAGCCACATGGAAGGAAATCGTTAATTGCCCAGGCGAATGTCACGTCGAACACAGATTACCATCAATAAAAATCGGAACAATGCATCCAGCTGGATACAGATGGCTGAAGCGTTTACTTCCGCTTCCGTTTTATTTCCCAAGATACAACACTTAGAATATTTGATGATTCGCTTAGGGCCGAAAACCAATCAAATCAAAACAGCGTTGTTTGTTGTTTGATTTTGTTTTTGTGCACATGCGCAAAATAATCACTGTGTGGTAAACATTGCCTGGGCTGTTCGATTTAGATGTTTTTTTTTTATATTATATTTTTTTAATAAAGAATATGCGGGCTTTCAATGTCACCGGAAGCATTCATAAGGACTTTAATAAAAAGCTATTTGCTACTTTTATCTCATTGTCAACTCTGTTGTTGCTAACGATAACATCAAAAATGAACAGTTACAGAAGAACAGTGATTTTTCAGTATTTTATTTCACCATCTTGCTTTTTTGGTAGGGGGTAGTTAAGCCCAACCCAGTGTGCAAATCGACCCCACCAAGCTCATTTTTTATGCAGGATAATGTTCTCTGTCAAAAATCAAATCAAAAAGCTTGGTTGCTCAACTGCTTTCTCGAGATCCTGTACTTTAAAATGCTCCATAAGTTTTCTATGGGGTTGATGTCAGGAGATTAGGGCGCCCATGTCATAACACTAACCTGCTTCTCATCAAAGTATTCCTTCATCAATTTTGATTTGTGACAGGGAACATTATCCTGCATAAAAAATGAGCTTGGTGGGGTCGATTTGCACTCTTTCAGAAGAAGGGAGCAGACAAAATTCTCTTGTACTGCTCGCCCCTGAGGGTCTTTTTAATAGGTTTTAAGAAACCAGTTCCATGGAAAGAAAAGCATCCCCAGAACATTATACTGAACGGATGCTTTACAGTACTTACTGGTAAATTCAAAAGAGCATTCAAACCTTCTTCTTCGGATTTTAGATCGCTTATCCTTTGAATTTAGCTCAACTTTCGTTTCATCGGAGAAGAGAACATTTAGTAAAAAAATCAGGTGCGTCACTTTTATCGAACAGCACTGTAGATTCAACATAATAATTTGGAACTTAAATGAACTGAAGAATATTTGCAAACGAATCCCATGTAATATGAGGCAACGCCCTATATTAGACGATAATCTTCTCTGTAGGCCGAGGAAATGTAGGTTTAGTTGTATGATTCAAATGCAATTATCTCAAGTTTTTCAACAATGGGATTTCATTAATATCTTACGTTTATACAAGACTCGATTTTACAAACGATAATGGAGTAAAACGCTTTATTCTATATCAAAAGAAGCCCATAAGTATGCAAGAAAATCCATGCAGATCCAATGCCACAAAATCAACAAGAAAACCAAAAGGGGAAGGGAATAACGTGAGCCAAAATTAAACCGAATGAAACTGGAAGCAAAAATCTCTGTATAGCCACTTCCTTCTCCGAAACAAAAATACTGATGTTGATCAATTTGTAAACCACCAGAGGTTAAGTAGTTCAGGAATAAAAAAAATGAAACTGAAGAGTTTATTCTTGCTGCATAGGACCAAATCCTACCAGCCTAATAATACCTTGCATAATATTAAGGACTCGAAACGTAGGCTCTGTGACCAATACACTGAAACAATTAATCAGCTTATCTCAAGATTCTCAATAAAATCTTTCTCTTATTACGAAAACCGCCATCAGAGGTTAAGTCAATATATGTAATAGAACAGCTCTCATAAAAACAGCTGCAAACTGACAGGAAACATCGTCCTGAGTCTCTAGTTGAGGGAGCAGATGTCAACATCCTCTGGGGCTTTCCTATCAACATAAATCTAAAAATAAATGCAAATTGCTCAGTCATTAGTATGAAAGACAGAAAAGAAGGGTTTTGAAAACTAAGCAAATACAAACACTGGAAGATGGAAATCAAAACATATGGTGTGGTTGGAGCTCTGGGTCTGATAAAGAAAGGAACTCAAGAACAAATCATCAATATTCTAGGTGCATTATCTCTAGAGGAAATTCAATCAAGATATGTCTAATAAGCACTGCCCCCTTATACTTATAATTCCCCTTTCACATGAACCAAACATCAAGAACGATGAATACGAAATAAAAAATAAATTCTTTAATCCCTTATTCTACATAGATGACCTCAAATAATTTTGCCAAACACAAAAAATGAGTTGAAAGTTCTCATTAATACACTAAAGTTAGAGACACGGTGGAATGATAGATAGCGGCTCGGATTGAAGACTCGGAGAGTCGAGTTCGAATTCCAGTCGGATCCATTACATTCACTTACGTGATAATACCATGAGGAAAGCTATGAATCCTCTTCCCCTCCCAGGAAGAGGAAGAGGAGAGACTTGGGTTCTATAGCCTTGGATTGGCAACCGGTCAAGGAGAAAGCAACTCTTAATTCAAAACCGTATGTAGCCTTTGTGTAGCACACACTATACAACTAAAGACAGGGTTGTTTCGCATTGGCTC